CCCCCCCTCCGCAGGGGCCATGTGATCAAATGACTCACCAGCCTTCCCGCTGGGAGGAGATGGAGGAGATATTTGCAGACGTTCTGTAACTTCCAAGCTAGAACTAGATACTGTATCAGGCCTACAGTTAGCCTATAGGTGGCAAACAGCACTAGGTGGAGACATAAATGCATGGCAGAACCTGTGCTATTATTTATAACGCTTTATTTAATCCAAAAGTTAATAATTTTACCTCTCTGAAGATGGACCCCTGTGAGATTTCGAATGCTCAGGACAATAAATCAATCGATCCTGTACGCGACTCCTCTTTTTCTTTAACCAGGCAGATACCTTGAACGCGAACTTTTTCATTGATCGGGAATAGTATCTCAGTTTATTGCCGAGGGCAGCTGACTTGTGCCATGTGGTGGAACATAGTTGGAGGGCGGGAGGGAACAATGGGAGTGGGTGGAAGTCACTGGGATCATCATCGACTGCGGCAGATGCTCCCTTGCTGATTGCAGAGTTCGCCTACAAGGTTGGAAAAACAGAAATATCCGCAGAAATCGTCGACAGTCCACTGCAGGTCGAACATTGGGAGAACGTTTAGAGGCCGTGTAGACTATGGCCGCCAGGCCCGACTAATGCCCTTGCTCACAATGTCATCACGGTACAAAGATAGTCAACTAGGGACGACCGTGGAGACCTTCACAAGGGATTAACTATGGGAGAGCGTAAGCCATAGGTTTTCATATATAGCTAATAGTATTATATTTATGCGTTTTTCGCCGTTTGTAGGTTGATACGATTGAAGGAAAACCCTCGTTACTGTAAAACGTTATGTTGTAAAACAAATACTACAGTAATATAGAAGGTAGTATTCTAATTGTAATTTGTCGGCGGTGGTCATTTCGTGCTTTAGCGTGCATTGTTATATCGATCTATTTTCCACTTAAAAACCTCTAGGGATTCTGGCATAACGACATCCAAATGTAAATTATTCCAAGGCTTGACCACCCTTTTGAAAAAAAGTACTTCTAAGTTGGAAGCCTGGCCCCACTCACAAGTAATGTGAGAGAATGACATCTCGATTTAGTTTTCCTCGCTTACGTGAAAAACTCTCCTGGGCAGGAGTTTCCTTGGTAGCAACGGATGTTCTTATTTATATTTACATGCATAGTCAATTAATTTGTGTTAGGGTTAGGATCCGGGTTAGGGTAAATGTAAGGGTTAGGGTAAGGGTTAGGGTAAGGGTTAGGATTAGGGTAAGGTTAAGGGTTAGGGTTGGGGATAGGGTAAATTTAGGGTTATGGTTAGGGTAAGGATTAGAGTAAGGGTTCGGTTAAGGGTTAGGGTTAGGATAAGGGTTAAGGTAAGGTTGAGAGTTAGGGTTAAGGTAAGGTTTAGGGTTAGGTATAGGGTAAATTTAGGGTTAGGGTTAGGGTAAGGGTTCGGTTAAGGGTTAGGGTTAGGTTAAGGTTAGGGATAGGGTAAATTTCTGGTTAGGGTTAGGTTAAGGGTTAGGTTTAGGGATAGGGTTAAGTTTAGGGTTAGGGTAAGGATTAGGGTAAAGGTAAGGTTTTGGATTAGTGTTAGGGTAAGGTTAAGGGTTAAATTAAGTGTTAGGGATGGGGTAAATTCACGGTTAGGGTTAGGGTACGGGTTAGGTTTAGGGATAGGTTTAGGATTAGGGTTAAGGTAAGGATTAGGGTAAGGCTTGGGATTAGTGTTAGGGTAAGGTTAAGGGTGGGGTTCAGTGTTAGGGATACAGTAACTTTTAGGGTTAGTGTTAGGTTAAGGGTTAAAGTAAGGGTTATGTTAAGTGTTAGGGTTACGTTTAGGGTTAGGCTGGGATAGTGATATTTTATGTAAAAAAACCCAATTTTCTGCCTTACGGGAAGCGTGAATGTGGGCATGTAAATATAACTAACAACATTCGTTGCTGCCATGAAATCTCCTGCCATCTCCTGATACAAGACATCCATCTTGAACGCGTAAAATGCGGAATCTTAGATTCGGTTCCCCCGAAGCTGTCTGCAGCGCAAGGAAAAGAGTTTAATATTTGACAACCTGGTTTCGTAAGATTGTGAGCCCTGTTCAATTACAAGTTTGGCTGCACGCCTTTGAGCCTTTTCGACGATGTTAATGTCTTTCGCCGCCCAGGGCCCCCAAGCTTGGATGGCGGATTCTAGTTGCGGTCGTACGAAGGTTCCAAAGTCTTTTGTGAAGCCATCGCCATGAAAGGCAGGAACAGCTCGTTTGACGAGGTACATAACCGACAAAGCAGACTTCGCTACCTTCGCGCAATGCAGGGAAGGTTTAAGCGGGGGCGTGATCCAGAGTCCAAAGTCCTTCTGGGCGTCCACTCCTTTCACTAGTATGCCATTTAGGTGGTAAACCGTACGATTTGAAGGAATGCTTTTGCTGACTCGTATGACATTGTACTAGCTCTCATTGAACGGCAGTCCTTCGACCATTTTTGGAGCCGATTTATATTTGCCTGCAAGTTATCTTCGACAACGGCAATTCGAATGATGCGCCAACGTTTTATATCACAGGCGAACATGACGATACCGCAATCCAGCTGCCGGACACAATCGTTGATGTAAATACCTACTAAAATATGCCCAATGACGGAGCCTTGGGGAACATCACTCTCAGCTGCGACCTTGGCCGACTGCATAGTATTGCTATGGACAGTTTGCGAACGGTCCATTTGGAAGCTTTCTAGCCATGCCAGAAGCCTACCTCTTACTCCTATTCGGCTGATTTTAGAAAGGATGCGATGGTGCGGCACGGTATCGAAAGCGTTTTCGAAGTCGATATAGACTGTGTGCACTGAATTCCCTTTATGGACTGTCTCAGTCGCCCGTTCTAAACATCAAAACAAATTTATTACGCTGTACCCACCTTTGCGAAAACCGTGCTGAACATTTAAAAGCAGATGGTTTTGTTCTAGAAGCTGCATTAATTATTGCTTGATCATTTTTCCTTAATTTCGTAGCAGATTACAGTAAAACTGTCCGGTTGATAATATTTTGCGAAGAACCGGGTTTCGCCCTTTTAGAGCGGCGTAAACCGCGCTGATTTCCAATCGGCCGGTGGACATCCGGTCTCCAAGGATGTATGAAAAAGCTTAGGTAGTGGTTTTTTCAACTCACATGTGAGCTCCTTCAATATCTTTCCTGGCACTTCATCAGGATCCAGGCACTTAAATTCCTTTTACCGTAAAAATTCCGTAAGATCAATAGCCTCGGTAAATTGAACAGTCTTAACTATTAGTTCCACGTCGGCATCGTCGGCAGGGTAGTCGTATACCGAATACTAACTCTTTCTATATCACAAATGTGTGCATACTACCTATCTATCTAGTTTTACCAGTACTTAAGTTTTGTTAGTGGTCAAAGCGAAGCTCGTTAACAAGCCGGCACCCTATTCGGAATGAAATAACTTCAGAATGGACTGCATAGTTTGAGAAGAAGCAGGTTCGATCACCGGAATCGGAGTTTTATTGGTCTGAGCTTTCGAACTCTCGCGGGAGTCCATCGTCAGAGATAAAACCGTCAAAGAAAGCAGGCAAAATCTTTACAGGGGGAAGGGCCCCTTCCCCCTGTAAAAATTCTGTGGAGAATTCCAAACTTGTTCAACCGAATATAACAATAATTGAATAACTATCTTATTGTGGATATGGCCTCCATTTTTGCTCCCGCAAGCTTAGAACAAATCCTGGAAGTAATCCGCTATGGTGAAAAATTATCCAATATAACGATAACAGTGAGTTGTTTCATTCATCGTCAAATTGGATCACTTATCTTCATGTAAATTTTTTTTAAAAATTGCCAAAAATCACCAACTTCATTTTGACATAAGCTTGGACGAAGTTAATATACACAGAAATTCTTCAACTGGGTATCTAATTAAAGCACTTTTTATTGAGGTAAGCTATTAGAGAAAGTTTTTTTATTAATCTTAGGAATAACAATATCAACATTCTTTATGGTCGACAATGTGGTTTACTGTTTTGAGGCATTTCTAAACAGGATCGACATGGCCATCTTCATATAAACTAATATTCAAGACCATAATTTTTTGGTTAATGCTCTTGATGTCTATCTCATTTTAAAGGTATTGATGTAAAAGTCGAACGGAATCTCGATTTATGTACAAACACATGAAGGCACTGAAAACGGTGGAACTTGAGCCAGAATTTAGTGGACGATATTTTATAAATATATCCATTTATGGTTATATGTATGAAAAAGTTTGACTAAAGAAAAGTTCTCTTTATACAAAGAAATTGGTTACGTTGTCAACTTAAGACAAGATAGAAATGCATTGTTCTAATTTAAAGTAATTTTTATGTGTCCGGAAATTGAGGATTATCGGGAAAATTTATTTTTCTAAACAAACAATTGGTACTTCATATAATTAGTTTAACTACTTAATATGCCTAATTCTATTCATTGTTACGTTTTAGTTTTTCTTATTGCTTTCACGCTGGGGTGCGAGCAATGAGCAAACTTTTACAAACTTAGGCATTTTGCATGCAGCACTCGCCATACTGTACAATTATTTTCAATTCGTATTCTGGAATATTAAGCAAACCTTAAACGTTTATTTGTTTAACTGCCTTTTATGCTTTTTCCTGCCCTAAATGTAACTTAACAACCTTTAGATGCTGCGTGTATTGTTCATGCAACTTTCGTAAAAATGCGGTGGATCCCCTGCCTTGGCAGTCACAAGCGCAATGCTTTCGATGGTTTTTTATTTAGAACAGCCAGTGAATTGTCAGTGAACTGTCAGGAAATTGTCAACATTACTTGACATTCCATTGTGTCCCGGTAGGTTTTTGCATGTCAGCTCACTGTCGCAGAAATGTCCACTTTCGTTTGGTCCCTGCAGCCTAGCATATATAGAAATATATATTTATATACAGACGCGGACACACAAATAGAGTCAAGCACTCCGCTGTTCAACATGCTGATGCTATCAATGTTCCTTGTGTGTCTACTAAAGCACACGAATGCTGAGCGTCTTTGTGAAGCAGCTTATGCCCAAATGCAGATGTCTGAATGCGATAAGATCAGTGGTTTCTTAACATCTGACTATGGCGAATGCAGGTATAAGGTGATAATTGGCGACATGATGGCAGTGATGTACAACTATGATCAGGTAAGCATATTGGAGCAGGACCAATGGAGAAAAATAATATGTAAATGATACTTTATTCACTTCTTGCTTAAAAGTTGATTCTTTTTGTTACTTCCTTCACAGGCTACCTGCGATTGTTGCACAAGTACACGGCAATCGAAATTATCTCTCGTATACAATCCGGGCACAAGCGTTTTTGCATTGTGCCGTTTAAGTAAGTTATTCGTTTTGGACACTATGCTGGTTTACTCTAGCCGATTACAGAAATCAAATAAAACTATTTCAGTACCAGGATACAAACTTCCCGTTTTGTTAACCTATAATGCAAACTGTCCAAACATATCACACATTTGTTGGTAGTTCACCTCCTATTGCCTAAAATACGTACGCATTTCAAACAGTTAAACGAACCTATGCTTTTACTCCCAATAACAGCATGTCCTAAAATGCTTATGATCTTCAATGTATAGTATATATCTTTACGTTTCTCAACAGTGTATACAACTTGTACTCTTGTGTTAAATATTCAAAGGACGTTCATGTCTTCTACTCTAAAACATATTCATGAGGTATTATAATAGATACCAGTTTTTAAACGTTTTTGACACAATGTCATTAATATTCGGCGCATTATAGATGAATACATTTTGTTCAATCAGTAAAAAGCGAACCTAGCAGTTATTGTCTATTTATTCTTAAATGGCATTCCTATTGTTAAATTAGTTTACCCTTGTGCAATTTAACAAATTCAAAGCATATGCTATTATATGGATTTTGAATGTACACCGCCCCCCTTATATCAAAGACCCCTATGTACACCCAACTCCCTGAGCAACATGTTCCTTTGATGAAAAAAGTTTCTATTTCAATTACGGTACACGGTTAACATTTGTACATGTTGTCCTTCAATATGCACTGGTAAAACTTAACTCAAATAAATGCCGAAAATGGGATCTTTCTTTGACCAGCTCTTCTGCTTCCTACGCTGTTATATTAATTCGTTTAACTTTTAACATAATTAGAAAGCTTGGCTAGGTTATCGGCCCATTTTCGCCGAAGTAAGCATTTGTTATCGGTTATACATTAGAGATCAAAGAACGAAAGTCTGATCTGACTTTCTACCAGGGTTATGGTGCATAAAACGTATAGATAGGTTAGCTCCAGGCCTTAAGTCGATTATTGCCCGCTGGTATCAATTTTATGTCTGATAATGGACACTACGCGGTCCAGGGTGAGTTAAATTGCATCTTGGCCCTTGAATTCAACGACTCTGAGCATGTGCCCCATAGCAAGCCGAAGGCAAACTGGATGATGTACGCGGGGGGTGGTGTTATAACGGATGCCCAGGCCGAGATATTGCCGCCCAATGGCGTCCCGTGTGAGCCCCCAAAGACAGAACACGACAAGAAGGGTGGAACGGCAGAAGTCTCTTAGTGTTCAATGTACAACAAATTTAGAGAAACTAACGTGTGTAACGATGTCCATTGAGCCAATCAGATTTCCTTCTGAGATGGTGGCTAGTCCCATTGGTTGTTTGGCTCATTGAGTGAATGTAGCTAGAAATTCAAATTATCGATTGATTGCTAGACTCGCGCATAGGCTGATCGATAGAATATTATGGGGGCGGCTACTTGCTGCTTCTATGCTAGCCGTTGGGCCCCTCCTAACAGGGGGGTAGTTTTAGGTGATAGTGGACTTGCGTTGCATATATCACACGCTCACCTTCCGCACACCTGGACCCCATATCACGAACAAGTAAAGAAGAGGGGAGGCAAGTGCAGCAGTTACTTTCGCGTCAAACGTCCATTCTGGAACAGTCCATTACATAAATGAGGTTAAATTATCATAGTCACCAAATGAGACCGTAGCTTGCGTCCTTAGAGGCGATAAATGCCGTTTTTATATTCGCCTTGTGAGAAGAAGAAGAGGCAAAATTATTTATCAAGTTTCATTTTTCCTCGAGCCGATAAGTTGCAATGCTTCAGTAGCAAAGCTTGTTGAAAATTTTCATGTAGGCATCCGGCGAACAAAAGACTGAACTGAGACAAACGCAGAGATGAAAATACAGCACTAAGCAAACTGTCAATAACTCGAAATGAAGAATTCTCCCGATTCGTGGAAAATTATCGTGCAAGGACATACCTGTGTAAAACAAAAGTGAGTACGTTTCTGCGCCCCACAGTCACAGTAATCGCTCGCTGTCGTTCTCTATCCTCGTGAAGTGTTCGCCATTGAGGCGTAGCCATCGGTTCCTCGTTTTAAAGGGGTAATTGAGCACGTGCAAAACAGGTCCCAAGCGTAAAAGTACATTGAAAAAAATTAAAAAGTCGTGTTGGCAAACGATCGTTTTCGGTCATTCATCGTCAGGACAGTA